TCTCTCTCTCTCTCTCTCAACAACTCTGCTCACTGCCACCCAGTGGATTTTGACTCACAGTGGCACTATGGGTTTCAGAGCTTATATTTTTAGATTGTAGCATAGACCATTGGGTGGCAGTGTTGACTAACAGAAAAAACTCCATGGTTTTATTTGAATTGTAAAAAACAAAAACAAAAACCCAAAATATAAGGAAACCAGATGTCCCGTTCTTGGCGGGACAGTTCCGATTTTTAACAATTTGTCCTATGTCCTGCAGCATTTTTAAAAAGTCCCAATTTTTAGAAAGAATGCACGACAAGCTAGGGAATGGCAGGAGAGTGGGAAGGGAAATATAGACCAAATTTTTAATCAAGAAACCCCCTCCTGGTCAATGGTGTCCCGCTTTACCAATGTTAAAACCTGGTCACCTTACCAAAATACAAAAAACAAAATTTAATATTCTTGCTTGATTTAGAAAAATGTGGCCTTGTAAGCAAAATTATAAAAATTTTCTTGGAAAGTATTACTTTCTTTCTTCTGGTCTCCTCCTCTAACATATTAGGACACAATTCTTTACTTTAGGACGAACCCGAACCAGACTCACTGCCATCAAGCCATTCAGATCCATAGGGACCCTACAGGCAGAGTAGAAATGCCCACGTGGTTTCCGAGACTGTAAATCTTGACTGGCGTAGAAAGCCTCCTCTTTCTCCCTTGGCACAGCTGGTGGTTTCAAACTGCCGACCTTTTGGATAGCAGAACAACGTATAACCCAGCAGGGCTCCTCAGAAGTTAGCAGTATGGTGATCAGCTAATAACTGCAGAAAGAAACGATACTAGACCCTTTAAATATGTTCCACTTTAGTAGTTAAATACCTGATTTTCATGACGGCATATCATTTCCATGATATGCACTAATGATACAAGCCAACAGGGTATAAATAAGAATTCCTGGAGCAAGTTCGATGTCCATATTTAACAGGAACTCGCTGGAGGATAGGAGCCCAGGTCGTCCGGTGGTTACGTTCTTGACAGCTAACTGATAGGTAGGTAGCTTAAACCCTTGTGCGACTCAGCGGGAGAAAGAGGCAGCTCTCCACTTCTGTGAAAACCGTGGTTGTTAGGTGCCATCAAGTTGGCCCTGACACATGGGCCCCCATGTGTCAGCACATGAACCCGTCTCTGCTCTTGCACCTTCCTCATGGTTGTTGGCACGCCTCAGCTCATTGTTGCAGCCACAAAGTCAGTCCACCTTGTTGAGGGTCTCCTTTTTCTCTGGCCATCTCTCTACTTGACCGAGCAGGATGGCCCTCCTCCAGGGACTAGCCTCTCTTGACGTGTCCAAAGTCCACAGATCGATACTTCCTTGGGCGTCCTTATCCATCGCCCAGCTTTT